AGAGCCTTTACACACAAGTGAAATTCAGAAAATCTGCATTAAGTCTGGCTTTGGTCCTGAGGAAACAAATCCTTACAAATTAAGGCCATTTATTTCTAAATAACGTACGCAGATATAAGGAAGCCACAGCCTCGCGGAGATATATATTATAAATATAATATGCAGAAGTTTAATTTTATTCTGTGAAGAATACATGAGGGAAATTCCACAGCAAAACCACGAAAAAAGGTTTCGCACAACTATAGCACAATACTTTTTAAACATACACACAGAATTTCTAAAAATACTTTTTAAACATAGACATAGAATTTCAATTCCACAGCAAAACCACACAAAAAGGTTTCTCACAACTACAGCACAATACTTTTTAAATAGACATAGAATTTCGAAACAAACGAGTTATCTCTCTCATATCCTCCCCGTATTATTTCCAATTACTATGCAGCCAACTATCCTAACAACACCTTCTTAAGTGGACAGGATGAGGGGATAAATAAGCTTAAGCAAATCCACAGTGTTACCTCTTCTCTGTTTCCCCCCCTCCAGTAATTGGCACTCCCACCCTTAAGCCTCAGAGAGGATCAGGACCCCTTCCAAGCAAAACGGGGTTTGCTGGCGAGGAGGAGAGGGTAGGATTTGTGTGTGTGTGTGTGTGTGTTTTCTTGTCAACTTTTCTCCTGCGAACTTTATATTAGCTTAACTTCCTTCCAAGTCATTCCAAAGAAAAACAACGGAAGCATTTAAGCATTTGTTCTCGTTTCCAATTGGTTGAGCTTTGTAAATATCAAAGGAAGCCACTGACGCACAGATCAGATTCTCAAATTCTGTGTCCTGCTTCAGTGAAATAGGTGCTCCTGGGAGCTCACAAGATAAGACACGGAGATTCTTGGCCCATCTTCTCTCTATCTCAACATTTGGTAATGCACGGAGGGTCCAGAGATGTCTCCCAACAGAAAGGCCCAAACATGCTGACATTCAAAGCCATATATACATTTTGGGCTGAGCGACACATTACAGAGCGGCTGTCATTAGAAATGGAAATGTTTTAAGTATTCTAGAGAAGGGATTCTGAGAAATCTTTGAGACAGAGCTATCTGACTTGCTAATGAGGCCTGTGCTCGCCTCCCAGTGACAAACCACAACAAGCTTCTTTACAAACAATGGGAGGTATGAAAAGCTCCTGCCAGATGTTCACTCAAACAACCAGATGTTCGAAGCACTTACAGATTTCCCTCCCCCATGGTGATCGGTCAGGTACCCTCTGGCCCAGCCTCCACCTGGCATTTCCATGAAAAACCGACATTTTGGATTTTGCACACAGAGCCAACAAGGTTTAATGGCAATGAAACAGAGCTGGAAGTGACTTTTCCTCTCCCCTCAGGTCCTGCAATGCCCGGTCTGATGAAGACTTTAAAAGTGTGCTTGTCAAAGTTTTTGGCAATCCAAGAAAAGTCCATCAAGCCAACCCGGATTTGGGATTTCACTCACAGACCACTGAGTTGCCTTTCTTTTTGAAAGCATGCCATCCACTCAAAGTTTGCTCTCTGTGGTTGTCGAAGGGGAAAGGGCTTCAGTGCTCAAAGTCTACTTCAGGTATCATCTGCTGATCTGGATCTGGTCGCTCTGAGACGCGAATACAGTTCTACCGATACAGAGATATCTGCTCGACTCTCAGCAATTGGCAGCACAGCAGCTTCAGACAACGTCCCATAGCTGTTACTTGGTGAAAACATTCAAGCATTGGTGAACGAACAAGGATAAAGTGGAGTCTTGTGGCACAGTGGTTAAACTGCAGTACTGCAGTCAAGACTCTGCTCAAGACCTGAGAACTGATCCTGATGGACTCTGGTAAATGGCTCAAGGTTGACTCTCTCACCCATCCTTCCAAAGTTAGTAAACTGAGTATCCAGCTGGCTGGGGAGAGGAGGGGGAAACTGGTGGCAGTGTGTAGCCTGAATAATTAAGAACTGTAAACCACCCAGAGAGTGCTTTAAGCGCTATGGGGTAGTATGTAAGCAGCACGCTTTGCTTTAAAGAGTGTCTCATTGTTTCCTCACTTTGACTAAGAGAAGAAACGGGTAAAGATGAATATGGAGTCTTTTGCTTATGCTTCAAGTGCTACATCATTGTCTTCAGGGTCATCATTTCACCCTCTTTCTCCCTCTTTTCCCACTGCAAGGCGAGAGAGAACCTTCTTAGCAGCAAAGCCCCTGGATCTGGATGCAAAACGCCTCAGGCTCAACCCCGGCATCTCCAGGATAGGCTCGGAAAGAGTCTCGCTTCAAACTCTGGAGGGTGACTGTTGGTTAAGACTGAGCAGAAAGGACTGGTATCCTCTGTCTTCCATTCCTCCAGGTCCTTTAAAACCATTCATTCGTTCAGATGCTCTCCATGGAATCGTTCCCAGCGGGCAGTAAAGATGGCGTTCCTCTG